GTATTGATAGCCCTATTTCTAACACATTTCAACTTTAGTCCATTAGGAGTACACCATAACCACTCTCCTCCATGTATGTATCCAGTTTTCTAGAAAATCTTTTTCTGCTGCATGTAGTACTTCATTAGTAGTCTTTTCATCAGTTACAGTTTGTACATTGTCATACATCCAAACTTTTCCAGAATTAAAAGCAAACATTTTAATGTATTAAAGGCTTTATGTAAGCTGTGTGAGTAAATATCAGATATGCTTCAATCTGATGTTAACCAAGAGCTCATTTTCCAGTAGGAAGGTTAATGGTGATTTCTGTGGCACGTGCAATAAATTAAAATAAATCTACCCAAGGAGCCCAAGAATTCCTTTGCAATCCCTTGCATAACATAATAAGCTGTTGAAATGAGACTCCTGATTACTACTTCACAAGCTATTACTACATATCTGTTTGTCCTACGTATTATCTATCTCATCTATAGTTTTAACCCCATCCAATTTAGCACTATAACCCAAGGCAACTATACTCTTATTCTCTTACGTTTTATAAACCCTGCCCCACATCCTTGAATTTTGTTTCAAAATTCACACCCTTCCTACTTGAGAAGAAAAATATCACATTTCTTACAACCCTTCAATCACTCATATAGAACTATCGTTGGTTTTCCAAATTAATGAAAAAATATGGTCTAATTGGTGGGTTATGGGAACAACTGGCTATCTGTCTGGAGAAAAATGCGTATTAATATTTATATCTTTAGCTAATAAAAATAAATCTGTAGTGGATTAATGACTTAAAAGTAAACACAAAACCGTAAGTATACCAGAAGAAAATACAAAAATAATCTGCTCTTCCTAAGCAGATGATCTTCTTAAGCACGACACAAAATGAAGGTGCCATAAAGGAAAAGATTTAGTGTCATATAATAGTACAAGATACCGTAAGTGAATCTGTAAGACAAGAATAGAATGAAAGAAGATACCTGCAACATACGTAATGGAAATGAGGGGTAATGCCCCTGACAAAGAATTCTGACGGCTAAATAAGGAAGACTGATACAAGGCACGCACAAGTAACAAACAAACAACATAAGAAAGCTCAACTCCACCAGTGATCAGAGAAAAGGAAATTAAAACGAGATTCCATTTTTATCTCTTTAAATTGGCAAATACTGTAAAAGACTGTTAACAGCCAATCTTTTTTTTTAACTTGAGGTAGAGTCGATATACGATATTATATAAGTTTCAGGTATAAAACATAGTGATTCACAATTTTTAAAGGTTATCTGTATTATACAATATATCCTTGTAGCTTCTTTGTTACACATAGTTAGTTTGTACCATTTAATCTGCTAATAAAAGCCAATCTTGATAAAGTTATAGTTCATAGTTGCTGCAACTGGAGGGCAATTTTGTAGTAGTTATCATAATTTAATCTAGGTTTTCTAGTTCTGGAATTATCCTATGACAATACTTGCACAAATACACAAGTATAGACGTAAAAGAAAAGTTCACCCCAATACTATTACATTAGTAACAAAATAACCTCAAATGTCTAGGTAATTGGCTACAAAAACTACACTATAAACATACTATGCAATCATTAAAGAGAACCAGGTGAGTCTATAATCTGATAAACTGAAGGCTATCTATTCCATGCTGCTGGGAGTGGAGGGGGGAGCAAGTTTCAGAATAATATAGTTTTGATATCACTAAAAATTTGTATGTTTAAAGAATATTGTTGCAGACATAGAAAAGGTTTGAAAAAACAAGAGTCCTTCAATTTTTACTTTATGTAAAACTACTGGAATACATGTAACATGAAATTACGTTACCTTTTGTTGTAGAAAGTAATAACTGGGAGAAAAGTGCCATCATTCATTTTAAACAATATGTATAATACTCTAATAAATTCACGTGTACCTTAAATAGCCTGCATTTTGAATGCTTTTTCCCATTTTTTCTTTAATCATAAATATACATTTCAACGAATCTTTACATATTTTGTGGACTGTGTGTATATACCCACAAAACCACTAGATAGATACAGAGCGCTTCCAGCAACCCAAAAGTGTTCCTCATGTGACCCTTACAACCAATATCCAAACCTCCAAAGACAACGATTTTTCTAACTTCTAACACCATACATTTGTTTTACCAAGTTCAAATAAAATGGCAAGTTACTTTTAATTATGATGTTAGCTTAACGATCTTCTTTGTTTTCCATCTAAATATCTAGAAAAAGAACACCTCTGCTTTATGTAGGCTTCCTGAGTCTCTAACATTGATGAATGTCAGAGAAGAGGCTTAGAGGAATAAAAGATAGAGTTACAATATGATTCCTTATTCTAAGCTTTCAGACTGTATGAGAAAATCACAATTAAATTTCTAATAGCTTCAACACTCATCAGACTTAACATTTAAGAATTTTATAGCTAGTAATACACGATGATGGGTTTAGAGGGTAAGTTATACTTAGATGCTAAATTAATTCTAACAGATTTAAACATTTTATACTTACAAAAAATCATAAAAGATAACACATACTTGTAAAATATTAAAACTGTATGGAATACACCAGGAAAAGTCCTCATTACTCAATGGGCATTTGGGACAGAGAAAGATTAGGGATGCCTTCTGAACATGCTATTTGGTAATGAACAAGAAGACAGTGATCTTGTACTTGGAGAGCAGCTATTTTTCTTCATTTTTCAGTTTTATTAGGTAGAATTGAAT